TTTATACCTTTCTCATTTAGCCCCAACCATGCGTATGAGCACTTCTGCTGAAAAAAAATTGTGTGTACAAGTAAGTCGTTGTTAAATGTTTGAATAATGTAACCAGTTCAATTATAAATCCCATTACTGCACTTTCCTTGCCTCTGATTCCATTTCACGGCTTATCAGTATTAAAACAAAAAAAACTCTATCACATTAGTCAAGTGCAGTATCCCTATTTTTAGATTTTTCTCCCAATACGGTGTCACCTGTAACACACAGCCAGAACTTAAGAGGGAAAAGGAGAAACCTCCATGACATTTAACATAATGATGTAGCTATGCTAAGCTTCTACATAGTCAATCAATCCCTCACTTTCTAACCTCTCCAGCAGGGAGACTTTTCAATTTGCCATTAACAGAACAACTTGTCAACATTTTTAGACTCAGGCACCACACATCACACCAACTTTTTTAAAGTTAGCAGCATCCTCAGTTGAAAACCACTGTTGAGATGTCTTAACATACCATAGTGGTTCTCAACTGGGTGATGCTGCTACTAACAGCAGCCAAGTAAAACTGCCACGCTTGCCCAGTGCAGCCCTACAATGGGAACAGCTGCGGCATGAGCATGCTCTCCTGTCTCATGAGAGTGCTCTGATAAGTGTAAAGCAGGCAAGGAGGGATGGCTCATACGGCAGCCCTCCCAGCCTGGGCCTGCGCAGCATCTCCCAGAAACAGGTGTAGCTGTCCCACATGACTCCATTTCCAGGAGCGTGGGGGAGCCAAACTTGGAAGGCCTGTGGCATGAGCCAGCTCTCCTATTTGCTTCAGGCTTATCGAAGAACACTTGGAAAGCAAGAGAGCACGCTCATGTCAGGAGAGCTGCCCTTCATTGTCTTGCTGCACGCTAGGTGTGCAGGGCAGTTTTACCTAGCTGTGGCAGCAACACCAGTGTGGGGGAGAAGGGGACGGGCATCTCACAGCACCCTGGGGTGCCAAGTCAGATTTTACAGATAGTAAAACATTTGAAGAACTTTTTTTTCAGATATGTAGCACAAAAGTTCATTCAATACTAGGCGCGTTCTCCCAAGGAAGTCAGAATTTGGAGGGGAGGGGGAAATCTTGTTTCAAACTTTAAATCTCTCAAAATCCCTCTCTTCCAAGTCAGCTCTTACAACTCAAACCACTAACTTTGTGATTGGGCAGCGAGATAATTAGTTTAGTTACACTGATCCAATATAGAAATGAATAGCAGGTTTTTTTGGCTTATACTGTGCATCTCTAGTGGGTATTTTGCACTTGCCCTGCATACAGTACTTATGCTATGGATCAGGCAGGTTGTAAAAAACTGCAGAGAGAAAGTCAGAAAAGATCTATTAGCTCCTTGAGTATACTGGTACTGGTGTAGTCTCTAGAGCAGTGGTTCTCAACCTTTTTTGTACCAGGACCTGTGGGGCATGGGGTGGGTGTGTGGGGCATGGGGGTCCCCAAGCAGCCCCTTGCAGGCTGGAACTCTGCCAGCCTGCAAGGGAAAAGCGCTGTTTCCCATATTTTTCTCCTTGAGAGGAGAATCCATTTTTCAAGTTTGTTCACAACCCCTTCATATATTCTTGCAACCCACTTTTGGGTCACAACCCACGGGGTTGAGAAATGCTGCTGTAAAGTAACATTTTCCAGGATTTTGTCCTCAAGTTTTTGCCAATTTACTATTTCCTTACCCGCCACCACACCAATTTCTAGCTGAATCCTGAAAGACATTAAATTAAGCTGCAGCCAGCAATCATCCAAACTAAACAAATTCATTGTTTGACAGTCTGTGAATGTCCCGGTGACCCTGTCCCCTGAGTCAACTTCTGCAAAACAACTTATCTTAGACTGTTTACCCAGACAGTGATCACCACAACTTTCTGGACTGGTTTCCTTGATGTATAATATATGCTTCTATCTCACTGCAAAGCCTCTAAATTGGCACACTGTCAAAGGTAGTTTGAATTTTAATGAAATGGTATTATAAATAATGTATTTGCAATATAGTACTAATAATTTTCAACCTGCTATAAACTCCTACAGTTTGTAATTTTCCATAGATTACTGCCCGTGAATCAAAAATATATTCACCATATATCAAAGATTCTGGAGAAGTAATTCAAATGCCTACCCTACCTAGTTAGGCAATTTTAGACACTTCCTAATTCATGTGGTTAATTTATACAGACTACTGCCACTACAACATAACATGTTATAATTCAATCCTTATCAAGGCTACCTTAATATTAAAACTAAGTTGCTAGGGTCCATTGCAGACTTTGCATTTACTTTCCAAATAAGGATGTTATTGTCAAGTACAAATATTATCTGAAATAGTTTGATCATTTTTTAAAATCAGGAGATGGAAAAATAATTGTAAATTAAATCATAGCAATCCCCAAAATTTCCCCATAAACCTCTCTCAGATCGCAAGGAGCAAAGGACTTCTTTGAGCAGGCACAAATCTGCAGGCCTGAATGAACCTTATAAAATAAGGTGTTAACATTTAAAATGAAAACATCTTACCCATCTTTGAAGAGTCAGATACAAGTTAAATAGGCAAGTCTTTGTCCTAGAAGAATAATAGCCTAAGATTTACATGATGCCTTAGGAGGCATTAAACAGAAGGGACCATAACTATAAGTATGTGTTTAAAAAAAAAAGAAAAAAAAATATATTGCTGGCATACCATCTCAACAATTAATTCATGGTTAATTAATTAAGGATAGAATTTGTGACCTTTCTCAAGTAAAATCCAAAGTAATGAAAAGAAGTGAGCTTAACAGAAATAAAAATACCCCTCCAATTTATCTAAATACATAAACAATTAGGGCAATAAATGTAACTCATATGGTTTATTCACCACTTAACATTGCTGCTAGTTTGGCGCACCATAGTTATGGCTGTGCTACAGAATTCAGCTTTAACAGGAGCGTTAGACCTTTGTTTATAAAAAATTTAGAAATGGCAAAACAGAATATAAGCTTTAGGCACTACTTGAATTTTTCATGATGGTTTAAAGGAAAGAAAAGTGTCAGAGAAAGAAAGAAGTTTAAAAATAATCTAGCTGGGCAATTTTTCCCCTGGTTATTTCACTTTTACTTTGTATTCCCATACACTGAAACAAGGCCTTCAGTCATGTTGCTATTCCCTCATATGCTGATTTCTAGAATCTGAACTACATATTGCAAGCATTTATCCAAGATGATTTTTAGCCACAATGGCATGCCTGTGCACCAAAATAAATCTACCAAATGTTAATTAAATAATGCAGTCACTCAAACTAGGGACAGAAATCACACATAAACCAGTTTAAACCTGTAACAGAACATAAGTTCAGTATGCATAAACAGTTTCAAAATGGCTGAAACTGATTTAAGATAAACCTGGTTGAATGTAATAGAATCAGACTTAATTGATTTGGGTCAAACTGGTTTATGAAATTTCTGTCCCAGACCCCTTCCTGGTTCAAGTTAAATTAGAGTCCTCCAGCATCCCAGCATGTTTTGAAGCCCTGGGCTATGCTGGGCTATCTGCTCCAGAGAGCAGGGCTGGCCCCACCTCTCTGCTCCCTGGCTGGAGCAGTAACATCTGGATGACAAGGGGGTGGGAGGGGCAAGCCTTGCTGGGGATGCAGCCTAGTCTGCAGTGGGGGGAGGAGGTTGCCCCCCTTAGGTAAACCCTGGCTCAGGTCTGGGGCCAGGGATAGGGTTTAAATACCCCTTCCCCCTGCTCAAACTTACTGCTGGCTGCAACTGTGAACTACAAATCCTATAGGCACCTGGAAGCAGGAAGAAGAAGTGATGAGCAACCCTGCAGGGTCCTGGTGCTATGATTTTGGACTGCAAATGCCAGAGACCTTAGAGGAAGCAGGAATAGGAAGTGAGCGCACAGCCCATGCTGGCTACATGCCAGAAAGCCATCTTGTAGCACCCGCCCAGCTTCTGGCCTGAGCCACTGCAGGCATGTGGCTGCATTTCCTGAATTGAAGGTAAATGTTTGTTCACTTCTATTTCAATTTAATCTGTGCAGCTTAGACTAACCTGCAAAAACTGAATTAATTCAGCCTCAGGGGTTTTGACTGTCTGTACTTAGCCTCAAGGAGACAGAAACAAGCTAAGCATGAGACCAAATGTCCCTGTAGGTGAACAGAAAGTTACCTGAGCAGGAAAGAGACCAAGTCAGTGAAGTGATACAGTAACTTTTCCATTGCATGGAATGGATGAGTCAGATGCGTCTTACTTATTCATATAATTGATATGAAAACACAAGGTCACTGCGGAACTAGTGTAAACAATAGAAGTGTGAGGAAGGCAGGGTGTATACTGTTTGCCAGTAGCTGCTCAAGAGGGAAAGAAAAGCCTCAGACTGTATTGACCAAAGGATTCACAAGGCTCTCCTTTTAACTCATCCCCCTAAATCCTTAAAATAGTGATTTCCAACCAGGGTGCTGCTTTTAAGAGTGCCATGGAGTCCTGTGCAATATTAGCACCGGATGGAAACACCTATACGATTCATAAGAAACCCAGAGATTTCAAATAGAAATCCATTGCCACCAGCATTCTGACCTGTTGTCTTCCTGAGCTCTTTGCAACTGAAGACCTGTTACCTTTCTATAGTCAAGAAAAGCGTGAAGCTAACAGCTGACTCTTTGATCTAACAAGGGATGCCTTGAGTCTAAAAAGGCTGAGAATCACTGGCTTAAAAGCATGGAAATACATTATGTACGACTGCAACCTTAACTACCACAACAGTTGTTTTTTTATTAGGAGACAAAGTCGGTAAATTATACCATTCAAAAGCAGAATGTATCTACTATAAAATGAACAACGCAGCTTATATGTGAATGAAGCTGAACTCCATTGCCCCTGCCCAGAATCACCCGGAGCGTTATTCCACTTGGGATGGCTTTCTGTAAAAACAATGAGATATCATCATTTGGTCCCAGTACTGTGGATGAAATATTTTTCCATTAAATCAAAAACAAAGTGGTTTCCAAAGTCTATTTTTATTACTGTGACTATGTTAACAGCCAAACAAATTTTTGCAATGATTTTTACACCATCCAGAGTTTGCATACAACGGTAACAGGAGAAAAAAAAACAAAACAAATAAAAACACCACATTCTTGTGCAATAAGTACAACCGTCACACTGAAAAGCACATAGAAACACATTCAGCAAATGGAAGGCATTTTCAATAACTGCTTTTCTTTTAAAATCACATTAAACCAGATCTAAAATTCCAACTGTACAGTGAAGCATACGTAGATTTTTTTTTCCAGAGACCTTCTGACGAAAACCTCCCAGGATTTGTTTAGGGACAGATTCCAAAGTGGTTTCTTATACTGAGTAGTATTATAACCTATGAATGGTCCTATTGAAAACAATAGAAGCAATTTAGGAGTGATGTACTACTCAATGTGAGTGAAGGTGCCAGAATTTAACCCACAGTTAGTTATATTTATTTTACCTAACTCTCTTGGTTGCTTAAAAGTTAATGCCTAAGGCAATTTGGATTGTATATTTATTTTTCCAAGCTAACATAATTATATAAGCTTTGTTTATAATACATGGAAAGGAATGTACAATATGGTATGTGGAACATGTGGCAGGAAGAAATCAGATACATTATACTTAAAACATTCAATTTCCTGTTTATATAAATGAAACTCACATTTTCTATTTATATAAAAACCACCATGTACTGAAAATACCAACCTTTTGAAATGTTATCAGAAATGCCAATTTGGCTTTGACTTAAAAACTTTTATGGAGTTAAGAGATGCAACTAAATATGCAGACATATGGAAACTCTATATTCTATTACTTTTAGAAACTCAACTGATGATTTAAGTGATATGTTTCTTTAAAGTATCTTTATAGTATCACTTTTTAGTTAGTTACAGTAACTTATTTTTACAAAAAACTACAGGTTCTTTAGCCAACAGTAGTTGCAGTGCACTTACCCTTCATTTTATAAGTGCAACTTAACATTCAAAGCAAATCATATTTCAGCAGATAATTTTCTGTTACACAAAAGTTCGTAATGCAGGTATAAAAGAAAATTGATATATCTGCCATAAGAAATAATGCAAAAAACACTGTCAGATAAGTAGCTAGCATGCTGTGGATGAATTCCACCTAGGCATCTTCAGTTACATGAGTCCTGCCAACCTTGCTAACCTTCCGCAGAGTAAACCAGAGGCTGATATAATAGACCATGCCCTGTTGCACATAATGCTTTCTGTAGTTACCTACCACTGCTGGGAGCCCAGTCAACAACAAGCTAAGTCACAACAGCTAGAGAACTGCAGAAATGGTTCAATATCAAGTACTTTAAAAGCTTCTTGAATGCTTTTGAAGGGATTCTCTCCTTCTGCTTGTATGAGAATATCTTTTTCTGTTCTTTTGATCCCACATAACAACCCATATAGGGCAGGATTTAGACTTTAAGGCATGGAGAGGGATTCAGTTTTAAAATAATACACAATGTAAGGATCTCTCAGAATCCATAACCACACACACAGTGTAGAAAGAACACGTTTTGATATGTTTTATAAACTGTTTAGGAGCTTCATAGAATTATAGCTTTCAAAGATACTATTCACAGCCAACAATGGGAATGACAATATTCCAGGCTTATCAAAATGTAATTGTGGAATTAGGAAGTGTACAGTTTTCAAGGCAAGAAAAGTAATGCATGTTTGCCATCCAAATTTATTCCTTAAATATTTGCTGTTTTTAAAGTACGGAATGCATCATATGCACAAATTGCAAAGACAAATCTTCATTTTTATAAAAGGCCTCTTTTGGAAAAAAAGAAACAAAAAAAAAAGAATGTTGTCCCTCAAATCTGCCAGTGAATTTTGGAATGTTAATTATATGGTCAAAGCAGCAACATTTAGTCCTACAATTTGTTTTCTAAATCTTCCCGTGTTTCTTCCCCAAAACAAACATAATTTAAAAAATGTCTTTGAGATAAATAAGAACTACTTAATGACAAGCTCTATAACAATGCCACCATACATTGCAAAAGAAAGTGCTGCTCAAGTGAAACACATCATATATTTGACCCCTAGTGTCATGGCCCAAAGAAGTTATTTTCATACAATGTAATCTCAGTCTTGAAAGTGTCAAAAACACCCTGTCTGATGAGAATTTTTTTTTTTTTTTTTGTGATTTAGCTTAGAGTTGTCATCCTTTAGTCACTTCCTGTTTAGGTTGTTCAAGCTCATTCAATAGATCTTTGCCAGCTGCTCCTGCTTTCGAGGCAAACTGAATTGATCCATGTTTAAAACCCAGTGTCTTCAAGCTTCTGGCATAATCTGCAAATATCGCATGGATCAATTTATGTAAACAGGGATTAAGGAAAAGAGTAGAGAGCAGTGATAGAGAAAGCTCAACGCCAGGCTTCCCTCACGCCAACCTCCTACTAAATAGGAAATGATGAATATAGCTGGTAGTCATGTTGGAATACCACAGCACATTCTATGTTAAATATTTCTGATCATAGGTGAAAATAAAAATCCTTCTCTAAGTGATCTTAGCTGGTTGGCACCATTATTTTAGATTGTCTGAGAGCAACACATTAAAAATAGGAGAATATTGATAAGGGTCTATGGAGATTCAGTTGAACACAAATGCACATCTAATGTCTATTTATATCAATAGGAGTCCATAATTAATATTTTTCTAATATTTATCTAGGTTGAAAGCTATTGGCAACAGAACAATGTTGGTGAAATTAGTTATAAGAAACACTATTGACTTTGTCATTAATGTTGCCAAGATAATCTGAAATTCATGTCAATAGAAGCTTTATAAAATATTACTAAGCATGCTGCATTTATTTTATAAGTAATATGCATTTATTTCTAAACTAATCTAAATGATAGATACAAATCCCCAGATAACAGGTTCGCAAAAGCGTATACTGGACTAAGCAAGATCTCAGTAGCTTTATTAAGTTGTCTCACAATACAGTTTGATCTTTTAAGTTGCATCGTTCTTAACACCTCAAAACTCACCCCTTCCATAAAGAAAATTCTTGGCAGCACACACTGTAGGGTTTTGTGTAGGATTTGAAACACCGCAAAATGTCCACCACAAGAACCAGCGACTTAAGCCCAAATCCCCTCAACACCAATACTCCATCATCTGATCCTTCACAGCTCTGATTTCAAACAATCATTCATGTGTGTGTGTGTGCATGCGCATACACACGTGTGCAAGCACTTTCCTCTCTTGCTCTTTTGCTTCCTAGCGCCACTGATTTGATATTTGTTTTGCATGGGATTTAACAAAACACAGGAATACAACACCGTATTGTTGACCGTGCAGGATTTCTTTCTGCTCATCTATATATCTTATTGCTCCCTCAAGAATTACAGCACACACTGAGGAATATAAATGAAGTTCCTGCTCCTGTACATACTATCTAATATAGCACATGGACACACACACCCACCCACCCACCCAAGCACCTGTTAGCAAAAGGATATTTGTATCTTCATTAACTTCTATTGCATCATACCTCAGACAAGCTTCAACAAATAAAGCAGCTCTATCAAAATACCTCATGCTGGTGAAGAGAAGAAACAGACTTGTTAGGACAGGAGAGCTTAGGAGTACTTCAGGCTATTTGGCAGCATGAAACTTAGATACGGTTTATCTGAATTGTTGGGCTAATTAAACAGCACTCAATGAGCTGATCTTCAGCGCAGTTTTTGAAAGGATAACTTACAACTAGTATTTTTATAAAATGTCAGTGCTGCTCAGTTGCTTACATCTTTAAAAGCTCCTATCTGCTTTTTGGAAATTACAACAAAAGGTTCAGTTTAGTCGCACAGAAATGGAGGATAAACTATTGAGGTGACTATTAACTAAAGAAAACAGAATACATTGTTTAAACAGAAAATGGTGCAAGTAGTTCATTGCAAAAGAACATTTCCCAATTTAATGTTTGACTGACAACGCTGGACAAAGCAGAGCACAGAGGGTGCTCGTTCATCTCTACCTGTGAAGCATCTCTGCGACTCTTGTAAAGCATCCAAGTGACAAGAGGACAAGGATGGCCTTTGATTTTTGGTTGATTTGTGGAGAGCAAAGGTGATCCACCCAGCGCTTCAAGACATCAGCACACTCCTCTGCGTTTAAACGAACCTTTAAGAGATGGAAGAGACAAGGAATTCTCTATTTCTGTAAGTCAACAGTTCACACATACAAGTTTCTTACATTTTCATAAGTCTGATTTCATTTAAAAAATTCAGTTGATTCTCACTCATATTGTGTATTTCTAGTTAGCCCTGCTAATATCAAGAAATGCATCTGTCCCGAAAACAATTACAGCGAGGAAAAGAAAGAACTGAAAAAGATGCCAAATATCCAAGCCCTGGGATTGCTCAAATAGTTCAATATGATCATGCCAACAGGTGATAATTCAACAGAAAAGGCAAGGCATGAAATAAAAGAGAAGAAATCACAAAGTTTCCTGACAAACTAAAGAAAACATGACCAATTTTTTTTTTAAAGATGGATTTATTTTGAAAAAATCTAATATGTTCCCCTCTGGCAAATCTTTGTTACTTTATAATAGACAAAAAGACACCCATATTTAGTTCTATATAGAGAGGTAATAAAATCATTCTTATTTTTTCTATAGCTGCTTAGCCATACAGTGTGTCTACACTGTATTCACTGCAGTTCATGTAGAAACATCCAAGCTAGCTTTTAAGTAGTTATTTAGTTAACTCTAGTAGGGGATTCACAGCAGGAAAGAGCCCAGCAGAGGCTAACATTCCAAGTCCTCACAGTTTCCTGGGTGGGCTTTGTAATCCATGCTGAGGTCTGTGCTACCGCTGGTTGAACCTGAATGACCTAGTTAAGTTAGCTTGGATATGACATAGGATGAAATAAAAGTAGGTCTGGAAGGGATATCACAAGACCTTCTAGTCCATCTCCCTGCTCAAGGCAGGTTCATCCCTGACTAAACCATATGAGCCAAGTGTCTGTTTAACCTGTTTTTGAAAGTTCATAAGGTTGGAGACTCCACAGCTTCTCTAGGGAGCCCGTTTCAATGCTTGACCCCACACAGAAAGTTCCTCCTAACAGCCAACCTGAATTTTCCCTGCTGCAGGTTGAGGCCATTGCTCCCAGCCTCAGAGAAAAGTCTATCTTCATCCGTTGTTGAATCACCCTTCAGGTATTTGAAGATTATTATCAAATCTCCATTCAGTCTTCTATTCTCCAGGCTAAATAACCCTAGCTCCTTCAGCCTTTCTTCATAAATCTTGTCTCTCAGGCCCCTAATCATTTTTGTTGCTCTGAACTGGACTATTTCCAAACTGTCCACATCCTTCCTGAAGTGCGGAGCTCAAAGTTGCACACAGTATACCAGGTTGAGACATCACCAGTTCTGAATAGAGTAGAAGAATCACTTCCCTTGATTTGCAAGTGACACTCCTGTTAATACAACCCAGGATGCTGTTGGCGTTTTTTGTAACAAGAGCACACTGTTGATTCATATTCAGCTTATGGTCCACCGTAACCCCCAGGTCCTTCTCTGGACTACTGCAGTCTAGCCAGTCATTCCCCATATGTCAAAATGGATTGTTGTCACTGTAGACATATTCTGTAGACACACACTGAATCAAAAAAGAATGTATGGTTTTTCAAGGAAAACCAATTTTTAGAGGGAGTCAGAATTATTATTTTTTTAAATGGCTTGACAAGTCTTTCACTGATAACTAGAAAAGCGGTCATATTTTTCCATTTTAAACTACAATTACGTAATATGCTCCAGGTCGGGTGGTCCTCTGTACTCATGCAGAGGCCCACTGAGGCTCTCAGGCCAGAAACGGTTTATCTAGAATCGGGATGTTACAACTTAATACATTGGAAAGAGGTTTTCACAGTGGTAGTTCTGAATAGACCCTATATGCTCTTAAACTTTGTAAGACTTTAACATGCACGCTGATCTTTAGAGAGAGATGTTTTGAGATAAACTACTTATGTAATAAAGCAAGCTCTTGACAAATTACTGACTTTTGCAAGCCAAGCTGCACGATTCCATTCACCGTAGGTTTGCAAATAGCGACAGGCGTCAGCAGCTTTATCTATCAGACACAGCAACTGCACTCCCTCTGAAAAGTAAAAGTGGATGTTATAAAACTTGGGTCTCCGTTAAGGAAAAAGTTTCTTTTAAGTGCAAGCAAACCCAAACAAAAGAACCCATCCTGACTTTGGAAGAAGAGTATCTACAAGTTCCTAGTTCATTCTACATGCTTCCTGTACAACTTGAATCTTTGTTCTATTCAAGTTCCTTAGCCCCCTTCCCTGCTTCGTAAGGTGCCATTTCTCTTGTGCTTTACTTCGTTCTATATAAAATGCTAGAGAGCTCACTGGACCATAGGCACACTTTGAAAATGCCACAGCACTATACAAAATAAGGCTGATTTTTGTAAGCATTCTTTATTTTTTCTCGCATAGCTTATGCCTTAAATAATAAATGAAATAGTAAAAAATCAGTATAAAGTGTCCACAAAAAATCTTCTTTAATAACTTCTACAAGTTACATTGCTGCATGTCTTTATGCATTCCAAATCAGTCCCCTACTACACATCCCTGTTTAACTGCATAAGATAGACATTAAGGTAAAAGTCTAGAAAAGTATGTATATTAATTTATTTGAAACAAATTATGAACTAAAAAGAGACAGTTTCATTTCCAAGCTGAAATGTTTAACTATATTCAATTATAAACATTATTATTATTAGGGATATGGAAAATATGGAGCATTAAATGCCAACTTTCTTAAGCGTAAGCAATAAATTGCAAGCAGGTTAATTTCTGAAATATAGTTTCTAATAAAAACAGCAGAACAAGTTGGTCTTTATTACCAGGTGCTTACTAATTACTACTAATACCTTATGAACATCTGTCATAGCACACCCTATGAAACAAGTAACCTAAAAAGTTTATTATAAAAACATGCTTTTTGTCTAATTGCATTCATCTCTTTATTAGCTATCAGTAAACTTGCTTACATACTTACCTGCCAGCTTTCCATTTGCTATCATATTAGTTGCTACCAGTTTAATAGTGCTTTGAGAAGGACCTGATGAAGTGACTGTTGTGACCAAACAGGCCTTCAGTGAATCACAGTAATAATGTGGATTTTCTGCACTTGTCTCTAACAGAAGTTGTACTGCTCTGTCAGTCTGGGGGAAAAATAAAATGACATTTTCTTTAACAGGGCACTGCCACCTTGAAATACAGCCTTGTGTTTGAACATTTGATCCTACTTCTTTAAAAACACTTAAACACCCAAACACTTATTGTAATAAAAATTGGAGGAAATGGGAAGGGAGATATGTATTTTTTTCAGTTTATTAACTAATTAGAAGAGGTGCACCAATACATCGGTTTGGTATCGGATCGGTACTGCTATAAAGAAAATTTTTTGTATTGGATATTGGCCTGATGGTGCCGATAATTTGGCCGATAGATGCCCATGCTGCACGTGCAGGCAGCGAGCAGCAGAGGCAGCAGCATTGAGAGCTGCCTCCAGCTGGTCAGCCATTACGGTGGAAGCGGAGCAGAAGGGAAGGGGAATGGGGGGGAGGGGCCAGATCAATAGCCCCCGCAGTGAAGGAGGGGGCAGGGGCAAGCACTGGCCAAGTGGGGTGGGGAGGTGGAGCTACGGCTTTGGTGGGGGGGGGGGTGCCTCCTGCCACTGCTTGCACCCCAGGAGGGCAGGGGAGGGGCCATGTGCCCCCCAGATCTGTGCGGGGCAGGGCATGGTGGGCTGCAGCAGGGGCTGCACGGGGCTCTTCTCGGCGGATGCTGGGCTCAGAGCAGATGCTGGCAGCACTGGTAGGATGCTGCATCCACCCCAGATTTCGCCACAGCTCAGCTCCCAGCGCCGCCACTGCCAGCCACAGCCCTGGCTCTTCCCAGCATGTGGGTGGAGGTGGGGCGTTGAGCTGGAGCAGTGCCGGGTGGCGGCAGTGCTGGGAGTGAGTGGCAGCAACATTTGGGGGGGATGCAGCATCCTCCCAGTGCTCCAAGTGCCCACTCTGAGCCCAGCCCCTGCCAGGAAGAGCCCTGCGCAGCCCTGGCTGCAGCCCGTCCTGCACAGATCCAGGGGGACATGGCCCTCTGTGCCCTCCTGGGGTGTAAGCAGCAGTGGGAGCTGCCCCCCAGCTGCAGTTCTGCCCCCTTTCCACCCCGCCTGGGCAGTGCCTGCCCCTGCCCCCTCCCTCACCACATTAATCTGGCCCCCACTCTACACCCCTTCCTCACCCCTCCCCTCCCACTACACTGGACTTACCAGCTGGAGGCAGCTGTACTGGAAATCAGATCAGTATCGGCTGATATGCCTCCTTAAATATCAGCTATCGGTATTGGCCCCCAACATTTCTGTCGGCACACCCCTACTATTTACTGCCCCAAATCAGGAAAACACCCTTATTCAGACAGCACTTAAGCATGTATCCTGAACAAGAACAGGATTAAAGCATATACTTAAGCGCTTTCCTGAAAAGGTCTTAAAAAGAAACAGCAAATTGAGTATGTAATTTCCCCAGGTTGTGTGGTCTGCTCACAAGAGTAAAACAGAAAAGAAAAGTATTAAAAATAAGTTGGCAGGAAATAAAGATTGTAAAAGCAGAGAAACTGCCAGGATTTCATGGGTTAGTTTAGTATTTGAAATAACACTTCTTAAAAATTATCCAAATGGCAGCTGATGGAGAGAACTAGAGAGATAAGTGAATGGCATCCGTAGAATCATACAAAATTAAGGTTGGAAGGACCTCAGGAGGTCATCTTGTCCAACCCCTTGTTCAAAGCAGGATCAGCTCCATCTATATTATCCCAAGCAAAGCTGTGTAGCTGGGTTTTAAATATCTCCAAGGATGGAGAGTCCACAACCTCTCTGAGTAACCTGTTCTAGTGCTTTACTACCCTCCTAGTGAGAAAGTTTTTCCTAATATCTAAATTTCCCTTGCTAAAACTTGAGACCATTGCTCCTTGTTTCTGCGAGCTGCTACCACTGAGAACAGTCTAGTTCCATCCTCTTTGGACACACCCTTCAGGTAGTTGAAGGCTGCTATTAAATCCCCCCATAGTCTTCTCTTCTGCAGACTAAATAAACCCAGGTCCCTCAGCCTTTGCTCAGCAGTCACATGCCTCAGCCCTCTAAACATTTTCAATGCCCTCCACTGGACTCTTTCCACTTTGCTCACATCCTCTCTGTAGTAGGGTAGGGTAAAACTGGACACAGTACTCCAGATCTGCTGGCAACACACCTGCTAATGCAGTCCAGTAGGCTATTAGCCTTCTTCGCAACAATGCCATACAGTTGACTCATATTCAGTTTACTGTCTACTGTAACCCCAAATCCTTTTCTGCAGAGCCAGACAGTTCCCGATCTGTACTGATGCATGGGACTGTTCTGGCCTAAGTGCGGAACTTTGCACTTGTCCTTATTGTATATGCATTTTATGTATACAAAGTAAAACCTGGTTTTAGACAACATAAGGTTAATATACTAATGTTGATATATAGTCTCCTTGTTACCAATGAAGATCAAAGGTTCAGGCCTTTAGAACTGATAGTCTCTCTGATGCCATAAGCCATAAGGTATTGTAAACCTATCTGCAAATAATTTCAGCTACACACCGAGTTATCTGAGCAAATATTGCAAAAGGTAGCATTCTCTTGCTTGGATATAAATATAGGAAAAACATTCAGCAGGGAACTAACAGAACAATGAGGCTTGAAGGGCCTTCTGTTTTGGAGGACACCTTGCACAACATTTCAACTTCCTTAGATCCACACACACAATATGCCAGCAACATATCCAGCTGAGTCTTGGATGAATATCAGAGTATTATCCCCATCCCATTTAAGATTGATGCCATGTCGAATAGATAGAGAAAGATTAGAAACATGCAAAGTCCATAGAAATGAGAGAGATGTACTATGAAAAGAAAAAAAAAAATCACCTACGAACCTGTCCAAGGAGGAGGAGTTGGTCAGCACATTTCCTAGTATGATCATAAGTTGATCTTTTAACTTCCTGTAGATTTACTCTTTCAAGCTGAAATTTCTAAAAAGAAGAACAAATATTTATACAAGCTTTTGAATAATCTTGCTAACATATAAAACAGAACTTTTCCCATAATATGAACTGCTAATGTACCAAAAATATTATGTGGTCTTATAGGAACTTTATCCATATTCGCTATAAATCTAGTTACAAAAATACATTATGTTTAACCACCAACACCCCACAACCTTTTAATATCACTGGATACATCTACATGTGCATTTTACCATGGAGTTGACTAATTAGCTCTGCAGTAAAGTGCCACTGTCTATATGTGTGCCTGTATTAGGCTGCAGTAAATTAGCTCCTTCGTAGGGTAGTACTGTCTGGGACAAGTACTATCCTATGGCAGAGTAATTTATGCCACCTCAACACACATGTAGATAGTAACTGGGTCCGGCTGGGGCACAAGGGTGCTACACCCATAGGGGCTGCCTCCCTCATGCCTCAGCCAGCCCCTCCACCACCCGACGCTGGAACCCAGAGCCTGAGGTTGACCCCCTCCCTGGGCCTGCTGCCAGCCTGGGGCTGTTCCACCCCAGTGCTAACTGCTGCGGGCCCAGACACGTGTGTACGCTGAGCCTGGGAGCTGCTGTCTCTGATGCAAACTGTGCCACTGTGCCAGAGCTTATTGCTCCATGGTAATTTTATGTGTAGAAGCGCTGTGTTTTAAGCTTATGACTAAGCTAAGTTCAGAGTAGAACTTCATAATTAATTCAAAGCCTTTTTCTCGATTTAATCACATATTAATATTATATAAAAATGCCTCAAAATACCTGAAAATAGGAATTTTCACACAGTATATCATAACATATATCCAATGGATTGACCAATTTTTCTGGAAGAATAATTGTGTCTGTAGTTTTTGCAGTTTGCACTTTTTCCTGGTATAAATTATGCAAATAATGGGCAGCAACGGTCCAGAAATGCAGTTCAGATTCATCACCATAGAGTCTAAGTCAAAAATCAAAATGAAGTATTATACCATTATACATCATAGCTACAAATTAATTTGAACTCCTGAACCACATGATAGCCACAACACTGATTGATTTTATATGTTAGATAATAAATGTTATGTATTTAAAAGGTAGTTAAGTACAGAAAAGATGCATCTTTCTGTAAGGCACTTACCAGGTATTAGAACACTGAACAAATAACTCCTATTTCAACACAGGCAGTTCCTTAAAGCTTTAAAAAATGTAATTTCATTCAACCATGTCAAGGTCCTTTTCACACTAATCCAAAATTTACTACAAATGCAAAATTCACTAATTAAAGTAATAACCTCAGCCTAGAAAACACTTAGACATGTGCTTAACTACTCACTTCAGTTGTCTCATTAACTTTAATGGGAATTCCTGCTTATTTAAAGCACATTTATGTGTGTTGATAGGATCAGGACCTTATTTTGAAAAGACTTTTGATTTTTGTCAGAATCTGTTACCTTGAAAGCAGGAGGCACCTTTGCAAGACAGTAAATTCAGGATCAAGCAAAAGTTTCTTGATGTCACTGCAAAAAGAAAGCGTCACAACTGATTTGTAATATTTGGGCAGGATTTTGAACACAAATACAATCTACTATATTGCCTACTAAGAGGAACAAGTCATTTTTCATTCTCAAAGAAGGAAAGCAGAAATTCAGCTCATATAGATCAGAACAAAAGCATCTATTGAATAATATTCAGCAACTACAACAGGAATTATTCACAACATGAAGAATACCTAAACATTTACAAGAGCATTGTAAATTCTGCACAACATCCTACATTATTTATCAGTTCTTTTAATAAAAGCTAAATCAGATGGACGGTCAGGAATAGTTATAGATGCAATACATGTGAACAACCACAAGGGTGTATTTGAAACTGTAATATGAGTTTGCAGTAATTCTAGTTGTGGTCTGATTAAAGCATGATATAATTATGTGAATATAATCTAGAATGTCACATCGTTGCATATTATAATAAAACCTTATCATACCGAACCACCATGGGACTGGGAGAAAAAAATCATTATGGAAGACAGTGTTTGCTATCACAGAGTTAGTCAATTTGCTCAATTATAATAATGAAAAAAAATTGTTGTATAATGATTAAAAGAAGGTGTTATTAAAAGGCTTGTTATAGAATGAGATTGTACTGTATAATGAAAATCTATAGGAGAGAAGGGAGGGAAAATGCATCTGGTTTCCTAGATGCAATGGCAGATTTCATAGCTTAAATGAACACACCGATATTGTTTGCTAAACTACTAGACACAGGTAAGTCACTGTGTATGTTTGGCCCAGTACAGCATTCTAATGGATGGACATGTTGTGAAAATGGTTTTCAATAAACTGCGGATGCTAACTGCAATTAAATGCTTTTAATTCAAATCAGCATTAATGAACCTCCTGTTGAAAGCCACCATTGTCGGGAACATCAGCGACACGGAAGGGAAACATCACAAATTCAATAGTAGTTTCCATCCCACTTAAATATTTAAAACAGTAAATTATTCTGGCTGTAACGCTAACATCAAACAATTTATTTCAAGGAAGTTCTCCCACTTGGGAAGAACTTTATGGTTCATTTTTTTTATTAGACAAAGCAGACTATTAAACATTAAAATGTCATTTGCTGTTACTCAAGCACTTAAACATGCACATTCAGATTGGCAGCTAAATAAAAAAACAATCATTACAGTTTTTGCTGTTGTGCTCTCATTTAAAGTGACACTATTAAAACATTATTTAAAAGGTTCTTACTTGGACAATGAATTTAACTGTTCTTGAATCAGTTTCTTAACATTTTCATTCTCTGGATAATCACTGCATAAAAACCATAAAAGTTAACTGATAAATATTCAATCCATTTATATATGCCCATATGTTAACTAAACTTATAACATATGAGGTCAAAGAAGAGTATTGGCAATATGTGACATAAGCCATGAAAAGGAAGCAAACTTATGAACATTTTTACTTTGTTAATGAAGAAAAAAAAGCCCATCCATTATTTTTCCTGGTCAAATATTAGTTTCAAAGAACTAATTCATGACCTGTCTTCACTTTCCCTCAGCATCATCAGTCTTAGTCACAGTCTCAACTTTATGTTCACTGAAACCTGCACTTCTCCTTACTATACTGCATTTTCAAATTTAAGCAACAGTCTATGGTATCTCAATATTAATGAGTCTAAGGGGAGAGAGGTGAAAGGGAGTGGAATAATTGATGGAGAGCAATCAGTAATTCAGAAAACTAGGCCCCTTCAGGCACCTCCATTTACACTATGATAAATTGAAGCAACTAAAATTTTTACCTCCCTCTTGAAAACACAGGCATAGTACCAGCATCTATTGCATATTATGGCTACTTCTCTCTACTGCCTTGACTTTTCTCACATCTTTCAAATCCTGATAGGCTACAAGAGCCACTGCAAAAGGATCTATTATCTTGCTTCTTGCCTCCACCTCACTCTTTTCCTCCTTAAAAAGCTTCTCTTATTTGTTGCATACCACTAATTCCCCAGTTGTGACTCCTTGTTCTCCTTTCCTCTCACCACAAGCATTTTTGCTTATCTTTGGCGAGTTCAGCTTCCATTTTGGTCCTATTTACCGCTGTAACCTTCTACACCTCCTCATCGCCAAGATCTTACTGGATTTCTGTTTGTTTATGACACACCGATAATGCACATAATGAATACAAAATGCATACAGTAATAGTATTTTCTTTTATGTTGACTGTGTTCTTAGATGGCAAATGCTCTGAGGCATATACCTTCCCATGGGTCTGGATACTGCCCAGCATACTGTCTATTGATTTCATCATGACTACTGCAATATAAAAACAATAGATCTAAATATCTGTAAGATGGTTGTATGCTTCTTACAGTTTTGGACCACTAAAGCAGCAAAGGACTGGGACACTGACCTACTCTCCAGCAACCACCCCTAACCACTTTGCAATCAGCTGTTCTTACAAATGAAACCTACTCCTGCTTTTTGATGCAAACAGCCAGTTTTGACTGGACCAGTGGAGCACAAACTTTTGGACTTGCAAGACAGATGAGTGGTGCGGGGCTGGTCCACTGGCTGGATCAAGCCCCATGCACCAGGATCAGACCCTGGGGCCTGACTTCACCTCCTCTCTGCCTCACATGCTGGGACTGGGCCGCGGGGGCTCAGCATCTCCCCCTCCTGCCAGAATTGGGCCCCAGTGCTGCCCCTTTCCACAATCCAGCATGCAGGACCCAGGGCTCCCTGTGGGTGTGGAAAATTTGGCAACAGGAAAGCGGTGGCACCACTCCCTCCTGCCAGACTTCTGGACCCAGGGGGTGCCCTGTGGGCCAGATAACACAGCACAGACTGGATCTGGCCCATGGACTGGGGGTTGAGTTCCCCTGGACTCAGCTATTGCTATTGTCTTAAAACAGAAAAGAGCTCTTTTCAGAAATGGAGAGAGGCAGGTGCTACCCCTCCATTTAGATTTTCTCATGACTGCTAAAGTTAAATGAACCCATTCAGCAGCCTTCTGCTGAAGAATATGCAGTGACAATATTAATAATAAAAGATAAAAGTTACTAGAAAATTACAATAAAGCCTTACACATGAAAAATATCTAGAGAATATTTATCATTCCATGGCTGGTGCAGCAAAAATGCTTTTAAAGCTAATGAGGCCCGTGGAACAAGGAGATAAGGACACCACACAGGTTCTGAAATAGAAGAAGGGAAAGGGGAAAAGTCTTATTTTCAAGTCAAAAGTAGCCACGCTGCAATGGCATAGCATTTACTGACAATAAAACACAGAACACTCAGTTTGCTAGTGTGCCAAAAGAAGTTTACTATTTGCCCCATCATCTAACTCAAATGTACAGCATGTACTACTATATATCAAAATATGTTGTTACAAACAAAAACATTTTTTGGGAAAGACATGGTTAAATTCCACACAGAATCTGATCTTTTGGGCTTTTCATTTATTTACAACCTTGTTGAAAAACTTGTGAAGTAATGGACATGTGAGCTCCTACTAAAAGACAGGGAGGAAAGTCATTAAAGATGTCCCAGAATGCATAATTCTGGCACATCCATCGCTATGGAACAAAGTATTTTTTTAATATGACAATACTCTGAAATAACTTCAGTGAAATTAGGATGTGCCAAGAGGCTATTACAGGGAGGTAATTAAGTTAAACATATTTCTCTGTTGGATGCTTCCCAAAGTCTGGTCAGTATATCGTTGTGGTTAGCTCAATTTTCAATTTTTCCTTGGTGGCCCATTCTCAATGTTAGTTTAAGATTG